GACCTTATTGAAACCTTTTAGCATGCCTGACCTATGATAATGGAACGACCGCCGCTTACTGGTAAGCTAGATTATTATTGGAAACGCGTTAATTTTTCTATTATCTTGTTTTATCGGCCAATATTCGAAGCTAGGCGAATCGAGGTCTTCTTATCGCAAGAATGTTAATTCTTTTATATATATGTTTGTATATACATATGCATATATCGACATTTTCTTCGCGTTAAAGAATTCAGTAAACTAGCGAAGAACGGTGCATCTTAAAAATAGAAATTCACAGAAGTTTGTTTTGCTTTACGAAATGTAAACATTCGACCGGGAGAGAAGATTCTTCGTAACCGGTTTACCGTTGCCAATATACGTGACAGAAAGGAAGGGATTGAGAGTGAAAGAAAAAAAATAAAAAAGAGAACCATATGTATACACAGAAGGGAACGGAGAAACCGGTTGGCGAAATTTGAATATCTTCTTTTTATAGCGCGAGCTTCTATCGTGAGATACGGCTGCGTGTCATTAAGGAACAGCCTTGAGAAATATGTGTTAATCCTACTCATCCTTGAACAGCTTTTTATTAAAGCGAGTGCACAATAAATCACCATCAGGTTACAAAACAGGAAGACAACCCGACGGGCAAGGTAATCGAACGATATTACCGACGGGTAAAATTTAAGGGTGGTTTCTATGAGTACCCTTAATTTAGACGAAATAATAAACACGATACATTCTAAAAAGAAACAACCAAGTTTCAAAACGTGTTTCGTATTGTGAGAAAAATATGTGTCACAAAATCCTCGACAATCTAAAAATTGTCCAAACAGCTAAACATAATCACAAGGCCCATAAACTTTCTCCCCATCACGTGCGCATCTACTGGCCTTCTAGGCCATGAAGCGAACACGTGTCATCGAAGTATTCCTAAAAATCTTATCGGATAATCCATCATTGGCACCACTGGCTCGTTACAGGCTATTGGCAGAGTCGTAAAAGTTTCTCGGGGATCGGTATTTTTCAGCGATCGAAGGCGCCACTGAGGTCGGTCCTCCGGCTGTTATCGCGACGCGGTTTCTGGTTCGAAGCAGCCCGATAACCGACATATCCTTGCTGACAGTCACCCTCGAGCGGCGGAATCTTACCGGACAAAGTTTAATCGCCAAAACCATAAACGAGAGGAGAGACGCGCAACGTATACACATCGTGCAGATCGCGCGAGATACTTTTCTGTACCAATGAAAACTGGAAAACCGCATGGCGAGATAAATAGTGACGACGCCAATGCACGTTCGACGCGAAGCTTTCGGAACATGACGGTTATCTGTAAAGAGAATTAGCTTTCAAACTTTTTTTTGTCTATTTGTTCCAGACTTTTGTTTGGGTTTCCCCTCTTTCCTTTGACAACGTAATTTCACTCGTGTCGCGATAATGATTTGTTACTTCGCCATTAGTAATTTGATCGATAATCGAGATCGTATTCGATCTGAACCTGTTTCGATTGTCCTTTGAAGTGGCATCAAGAACTCGATGTTATCGATAAAGCAAATATGTAAGCTCTACTACGTGATAAATTTTGTGGAGATTCTTGTAACATACATATGACGACATGACTACGTTTTTTCTTGTAATTGATAAGTATGAGGTGATGCTAAAGATATCGCGGTCGACATGATTAATACACACACGAGACGCGGTAATTCTAAATTTACGCGGCCGATAAGGACGCGCCGCGTTTAGAATATAATTATTTGAAGAAACATTGGGATTCTCGCATGGGCGGTGATAGCCTCTTGACTTTTGCTGATTTATATGTGGAACAATAAACCGTGAGAGGCTGATACATCGATGTATATATCATGTAACGTAATATATATGCGAATATGTATCTTCGTGTATAATTTAACGCGTATTTCTTGTTAAACAACAATCCATTCTAACCTAGAATTCTAACGCATAGTACAACTAATTTTCTAACAATTAAAACACTTCACTATCACCATGAGAATGAAAAAACTTAGGGCTCAAGAGAACATTACTGATCTACCTCACATGGAAGTATATTGTACCTTCGAATAAGTGTCACATATGTGGAAGGGAACACGAGAATCAAAGCGTGACGTAATATTATCCGAGAATCACGTGCTAACCTGGCTCCGAAAACTAAATAGCCTACACTTTTAAAACGACCGGGTGTTACGTAAGACACAGAGGGGCGACAAACTCTATGGTACATTCACCGCTGTGTAAGCTACTTCTTTTGAAACTTATCGACTGTACCGACACGTATCTCCCTATATTTGGAAATCCTAAATCAAATTCTCCAAGAGAAAAAAAAACTGAATCGTACATCTCCGTATATGTTACCTTCGACATTAAAATTCTACGACTATTCTAATTTCAACGCAAACGTTAACATTATTACGTTTCGATTGTCTTGTGCAGTATTCGAAAGCTTTTAACCCTATTACTGCTATCGGCGCTCGACGAAAATGCTTACCGTGTACTATCACCGCTTATAGGGGCACAGTTGTAATCGACCGCTAGATATTGTCGCATTTATATTTATATATTATTTATTTTACAAATATAAAATACAAAATATTGAGGAGAAAGGTAATTTGGCTAATTTAACTCGTGAACATATTTCGTATATAGTGATTATTAATGCTATAACTCGACCACACACAGCGAGCATTTTACTTTCGCGTGGCCAGCAGTCAAGGGAATAAGGTAACGTCGAAACAACCGTAACGTGCGGTATTTACAAGCTTCTCAAAACGTCCGCAGGGGGTCCGCACAATGCACTCCGTAAAGCGGATGCAAATTGCTATGTTTTCTCCGCGCTTTCTCCGGAAATGCATTTATCGTGGTACGCGCGTGGGTATATGTGGAAACAATTCGTCCCGTGTTCGTACGACTGTCCCCAAGTAGGCGTCTCCAGGAGAGACGAGTGACCGGAAAGCACGAGTACTTGCTGCGGGGGCACCCAAGCACGCGGGTATGCACGCGCGTAAAAACGAGCAAAATGCGTTTTAAAAGAGTAGTCAAGCCGGTTGCAAGAAGAAATCGGCTAAGAAGCTTGGTATATACGCGATCCCTACGAGACACTCGTAACATTCTTTTGTACATTTAAATCTGAGATATTTTTTAAATACGTTCAAGAATCAGTATTAAAAATTGTTGCTTGAAATGTTCTAATTGAATAGAAACATGGAATAGTACAAAAAAAAAAAATATAGTAAATTTTGTTATACGAAAAGTACCAACAAACGAATTATAATTTGAGCACATTGTTTTAGGTTGGCAATGCGTTCATCCTATGCAACGGTACTACGTCAATCAAACGTCAAATTGTATTCCCTATTTTTTCAAACTTTCAAATCGCGCGAATTAAAAATATGCAGCGGTGGATCGACAACGAACGAGAAAAGAAAACCGTGAACTAAGTAACGAGCAATATTCATTTATTATTTCTGTTGTCATGAGGTCAGGAGCCAGTTAATCGGTCCCTGTGTTGTGTCGTTCGAAACGTCGGTGATTAAACAATAAATGTTACTAATAATGCTTTTCCCGGTTATAACCGCTAATCGGTCGCGTCAGTTTGCTTTTTCTTTGGCTGCATGATAAAAGCGTTTCGCTGAAACGCAATTAGAGTCTGTGCGAGCTTTCTAGAGCTTTCGCCTTCCCTCGTACACAAATATCGTCATTTTTCTATTCGATTATCTAACACGCGTTTTGCATTCGCATAGCGTGCCTGTGTGTGCTCGTAATTCGCGTATCGTGTCTATCTAACGCTGCTAACGGGTAAATTTAGAGCGACAATCCCGCGATGTAAGCGTGAGATAATAACATTACACGATAAACGTTCTTTTCTATGTGACATTCGTTACACATTCCCTGCGAATGTTATCAGTCAGTTTGTTTGTAAACAAAGGAGTCTGGTCGGCACGGACGATAATACACCACCACCACTACTACTATTTAATAACATCGACTATAAATGAACTTTATCGAAAAGTTATAGCTGCATAGTGCTGCAACCGGCAGTCAATTGTGTAACTCTACGCGTTTATGTTACATAAGGAATTGTCGCGGATGCGCAGCTTGAATCTTTCGTCCTAGCGTACACCGACCGCTACGCGAATCAATTAATTGCGCACGTTGCAAAGATGGAACTAGAATGCATGCTGGCATTTGGTACATTTTTTTAAACAGCAACGTAAAATTTGTTCAAGCAACTCTTGATATTAATATTAGGTTATGAATCTGACACTACGTTGTTTAAAAAAAAAAAAAAAAAATACATGTACTCACGTATTTTTTTTTGACTTGAGAACCGTACCACCGAAATGTGGGACGAAACTGAAGGATCAGACTCTCTTCGTGCAGGGATACGTGCCGGGTTTAATGCACTCACGCCTTTTTCGTTTGTCTCTCTTCGAAACGCACACAATCTTGTTCGATGGTCTTAAAGAAATCTTGTCATACTGTATAAGCCGAACTTCGAAATCGTCAATAATGATAATATCATTGAGTTTTGTATGTATGTAATAGAAGCCGATTCCCAAGGGATCTCCTTAAGACAGTCGAAACGAACACATTGTAATACGCCGGTAGATTTTGTTGTTCTACCTAAATGTTTAGCGTTTTCCTCGAACCCGAACACGAGTAACGATACGAAACGAAACGAGTATAAGTTACCGACGTATTAAACGATCGAAATGGATGGACGGTTTTCACGTGGCGAAAACAACGCAGTGCATCGCTCACGCAGACGTATTGAATGTCACGAATCTTCGCTCATTCTTTTTTTTTTTTTGTTGTTCGTTATGCGACACTTACGGATTTATTTTCCGTGATGTTCGTATTGGACGCAAGAGGATATCGAGATACCTCTGTCGTTGGTCACCGGCGCGAATCGCCCGATCTGACCTCCTTCTCGTCCCGACTGCGTCTGAGCACACCGGCGTGAGTGTCATCCAACAGCACGTCGTCGACAAGCCGGCGTAACCCTACTGCGCATGCGCCACCACAACCTCGTGTATTTCACGTGATTTTACTGGATCTACGAATCAGAGGACCGCTAGACCACGTGCCCACATTCTTAAACTACGCACGGCGACGAAGCCGCTTCATAGGCCAGAAGTTAATAGCAACGAAGAAAAGAGCAAGACAGCAATGTCAGTGATCAATCGAGCAATACCGGTTTTTACCTGACTTTTATTGAATTCCATTTGGGACATTTCCTGAAAATAAAATTCCGAACCTTGATAACAGCAAAGCCTATCTAACAATTGTTCCATTTCAGGTTAGCGCCACGCGTTTGTTAAAAAGTAAATTATAGAAAATAGCTTCCGAACGAAACATTGTATGATAACGTAAAGAACTAAAGAACAATTAGATTGAATTATTTTGTATCATAGATATTTCTGGTCATAGATTTGAAAATTATACAATGATAATGGCATAGTACATGATACTGTTCGTTTGAATTTGAATTTACAGTAAAATCGGAAATCGTATTGCTGAAAAAATGTTTGTTATTATGTGCAATGCTTACATTATTTAAAAAAATATCAGATAAAAATATAATACATATTGAGGAATTTGCTATGAGATAGCACGTTCTATTTATTTCTAAATAAGTGTCTCTGTTGTATAACGTAGAACCGGTTAGCTATTTGGCCGCCATACTTGAATCATTTTAAGGCATCATCTTTTGTGATCATAGGGGTTGTATACCAAAAACGATGAATCACGGAATAAGCCGGGATTATTTGTTCAAATATCCCGAGAAACTTTTGGGGAGTAATTTACAATATTCGCGGGGGGAGGGTAAAAGTTACGTATATTAATAAAAATAAGTGGAAAAATAGTACTACCTCATTTTCTTAATAAAGTAACGGCGTCGATGACACAATTTGCAAAAGGTTGTGTATACTAATTATTCGACGTTCTGTACAGTCAGAGAAATGAAACAGAGTCATTTGCTTCTTCGTCATTGTTTGAAACATGCATAAACGCAGGTATAAACAGGCTCCCTTGGTAATACGACACTCTGCCGCATTTCTTCTATGTAAAAGTTTTTATTATACTCTAACGTGCTCCGTTAAGTCTATTGTCACAGGGGGCAACAGATTACAAACGACAACTTGATATATCCGAGGACGCGGCACAAAATGTCAAGAAGTTATTACACGAAGGAAAAACATTCATTTGATTTTCCACCATTTTCTTTTTTCATATTGCTATTGTCTATGTTTATTTACGAAATGCAAAATTATTTTTTGTCTTTTTTCTTTTTTTAAATTGTGAAATCAGTCGCCAGGCAAAGAAACGAAAAAAAGAGAAAGTATAAAATCAGACGTAACAATAAAACGATTTTTTTTTTTCTTTCTTAGAATCAGTCTATCTTCTTACAGTCAAAAGCATAATAAATCAAATACGCTCGTCGACTGTCTCGGAATACAGTAAATACAAGGACAGAATTTTTCTTTCGTATGTTAGTTTACAATACTCGGTTACTTCGTTTTTTTGTTTTTTCGTGTAAGAGCGCAGATTTAACAAATGTTGATTTGTTGCATCGTTTCTTGAGCACTTATTTAACGAACACATATTCGATATATACACCCATAAATAAAACCGTCACCTAAATAATTATTAAGAGTGTGTCCGGATAACAGATTGTGAAAACATCTGTTCTCTTGTACTTCACACTCGTACAATTACAAATTCGCATACTCCTTTTTTTCTCATTAGCATTACGAGCCGTGGTCTTCATATCGAATGCGTACAAATAACGTCGCGAATCAATCGAAGCAAGATTATTCCTATTATTTAAAGAGATCACTTTTGCGATTCCAATAAATAATTGATAAGAATAGCTTTCTATTTATAGAAAATTGTATCCATCGTTTGATATTTCTCTTCGTTTTGTAACAGAATAAAATGTACAAAATCGTGATGGATCGATTATCTTGTTTTACATGTATTTTAGTGGTTGTGTCGTCATAGATGTACAAGAAAAAAAAATGGCTTCGTTGTGTACTTTAATGAATGAAAATATATGTATATGTTGTGATAAAAATCGAATGGAAACGTGTGATACATGTTTTGTTTATCACCTGAGAAAAAGAAAATTCAAACTTACGCATGGAAAAATGTAATCAAACTCGAATGAATGTAATCGGTGTTTCGTTGAAAGGAAAAAAATGTACGTACAATAAAATGTATATTTATGTACAGTATTCGAAATTACTACGAGCTTATAGGAACCCTGTTGATATCGTCGACAACACGAATGAATTTATTCTATGTCCGAAATATCAACCGAATATATAAAATACTCGTGTACGTATATACATGTTAGAGGTAAAGTCCAGTCTGATTCGAAGTGAAAGTTTATTAATCGGATTTTATGCAATGAAATGAAGATTTCTGTGCGAACGATACGAATACTAAATATAATACCATTCGTTGTATTAATCATTGCAATTAATCTACCGTGAACCTAACCACATTTGATTCAGGTCAATTAATTCGTTCTGACATTAGAAAGATATATTCTTCAGAACTTCATTAATGATAAATCTGGACTTGATTCTGCGAATTGTGCTCATGAGTACATTACGAAGACTTACACTGTATTTCTAGTTATGTACAAATTAAATATTTTATCCACGGACTTTACCTGTAACGTATGTAATTGAAGTAATTGCTTTAACCAGCATAATTGATTACTTCAAAATTGACACAGACGTAGAAATACTACTTATGCCTTTTCTTTTTTTCGTTTTTCAAACTTATGTGATTTTTTTGTAAAATATTCCACATCACACCATGATCGAATGATGCTCGAATGTGATGATTAGAATATTATCTCGTGTTTAATATGTATGTGAAGATAAACGTACGTTCATCGACATGTAGATTTACATAAAAAATCATGCTGGTCTCCAATATATTCTAATTCATACTGATATATACACTGCAGTCCATATACGCCAATAACCAGGTTTGTATACGATTGCGTGGTCGAATCAGACCAGTATATTATCACAAAATAAATGCTAAAATTAAATGTCCTATCAATTGTCTCCTTTTTGTTTTCTTCAACTTTGAACAAATAGATTCGATATACACATATATATAGGAGAACATAGAAGATTCTTCTATATATATAATTTTATCGAATAATCGATAAAATTCACCTATCACTGTAGCGTAGATTCATTCGAACGACCTTTCCTACTTCAGCTAAAGAAGATAAAAAATGGAAGAATTGATTCCAAAACGAAATCGTGATTTGTTTCAACCAGATTCAAGACAGAGTGTTACACGTTCGAGGTCTCTGGCAGCAACAAAGAC